TAAATTTTTATAGGTTTTTACAACCAGAAATTTTTGTTAAAACAAAACTTTAAAAAACTTTTTCAGAAAGCTCTGAAAAGTTTTTCAGTGATTATTTCAAAAATTTTTCTTTCGTCTATTGATTACAGCTGTGTAAATTCAATTTTGTTTAGCCAGTTTCAGATCATGCACTTTCTATTTCCTTCCCCCAGAATTATCAATTTTAGGCTAATGAAATTGTTGTTCTCTGCTAACAGCTTCTCAAACATTTTAATAAGAAAAAACCAACTTTGAAGCAGCATCAACAATTGCTCTGTAGAGCAGTGGAACTGCTTTGACCAGCAGTGTGGTATTACCGCTAATGTTATCCACGTTAATCAATGCCACAGCTCGTTGCTCTAATGGTTTCATCAACTCTTCAACCCACTCAGTGCTACCTGTAATTTCAGTGCTAAAAACAATGAGATAAAAAACCAAAAAAAAAATTATAAAAAGCAAATTAGTTACATAGTTGAGAAATAAGTTAGATGACAATATAAATTTGCTAATGGTACACGTGATCAACAAACGGTTATTTAAGAATACACAAAATTAGAACTTGGTTAGCTTTCCTGTTTACCAACCTATTAATCCATATTCTTCAGCATCCCATTGACAAAAAACCAACGATCTTCTTGGCCTCCAATTATACTTTTTCACTGCTTCTGAAACAACACGAGCTATCTCAATCATTGTTGCCGTTCCAGTAGCTGGATCTATAGCTCCCTGTAAAAATATATTAACAGAAATCGACTTTTAAATTTTCCGTTAACAGCATTGAAATACTGACAATAAAAGAAGCAGTAATTTATATCAAATAATAAATTGTCGCTGCAAAATTGTTTCCTAAGAAACGAATACTAAAGCATAATTATTTTTAAATTAACTATAAAAAAACGTTTAAAAAAAATTGACCTGAACCCAAGCGTCAACATGGTTACTGAGTAGGACATAACGATCCGGTTCAATTGCACCTCGTAACGTTGCGATTACATTCTTAATTTTTCGACGTGTTGTTGTCGATCGGACAGATAAACGAAATATTGAAGAACCATTATACCGATAGGTAACATTCATACCGCCTTGCCATCGTAACTACAAAATATACAAAATTGTATTAACCAATTCTTGAATTATAACTGTCTAAAAAATTTTTTGTTCAAAAAAAAAAACAGCAAATGAACAGTGAAGATTTAAACAAAAAAAATTTACTTGAACTGGAAAACCATCCAGTTTTTGCATCAATTTCAATGCATCACGATAACCAATTGGCATTGCTGGAATATTTGGTATTACACCAGAAGCTCTTGCTGTAGCTTCAGTTTCTGTACGATAAATGTAATCTTTAGATGGAAACATTGGTGTTTCTGGATCACCGTCTGTTCGTAGCAATGTTCCTCTTTGTGCACCGGAATCTGGTAACCAAATTTGATGCGGAAATGTCTACAAACAGTTGTTTCAATGCAACAAACATCGTAATTTTTAAACATTGTAATTCTTATACATAGTTTTAATATAGTAAAGACATTTTTTTTTTGAAATTTAAAATAAATTTAGTTTTTTTGCACTTCGTTATCTTTTTTTTTTTTACAACCAACCTCATTAACTGTATGACCACGAGCATAATCTTCTGGATCGCTGTATAAGATAACACCAACAGCTCCACGTTTTTCAGCTAAATAGACCAGTTGACCACGAAATAATTTCCCATATCTGCACAACACTAATTTTCCACGTAACTTAATTCTCATCTAAATGTTCAAAAATATGATATAACTGACTGTAATTCATCTGATGTTTTGTTTAGTAAAAAAAAATTGTTGTTTCCA